CAATCGATTCTCTCGTCAATCGTCTGATTATATTTGATTGCTCTATTTGAATCTATAATTATATTTGATCAAGTCTATAAAGAAACAAAACAAAACATTCATAATTGTTCAAAATTGATGAGTTTAAAGATAAAATTCGATGAATAATTCTATAATATTTTATTTAAGAGTTAAAAAACTGAATGAATAACAATAAAATAAATTATTTAAAATAAATTGATGATTGATATTAATAATTGACATACATCTGTGTCTTGTTAATATAATCGATACTGCTATTTTTGAGTTTAATTTTCATATATATTTATTGAAATAAATACATTCATACCTAAAAAAAAGATATATTTTCAATGTTGAAAATAACAATTTTCCGTCACTGACTTTTGATAATAGTGATCAATTTAAGGTGCTTTATCTTATGGTATTATTTCATTTATTTCACTATTAGATAATATATTTTAGAATTATTCATTGAATTTTGTGTTTAAATTCCTTAATTTTAACCAAATATGAATGTTTTGTATTTTTAAAATCCATTAAATGGAATCTAATTATAGAGTCAAAAGAGCAATCAAATTAAACGAGAACTCTTATAAACGATTGACAATACAATAGATTGTTAATAACGAAAAAAAAAAATATTATAATTGAAAGTACGATTTGTAAATTGATAGGTAAATAAATTGATTAAAAAGAATAAAAATCTAAATGATTATTTTTTATTTGAAATGTAAAAAGAGAAAAAAATATCTTTTGAAGTTAATTATTTGGTTAAAATATTAATAATGAGATTAATATTAATTGGTAATGATTAATATGTTGTTGATTTTATTTGATTATCATTTGGAAGATTTTCTGAAGTTGATAATTTTCCAAATGAAAGAAGAGTTTCAGGAAAATTTGGTGGAGTTACTGGAGTATTAGCTGGAACCAATAACTAAAATATATTAAAATAATATTCTACCGAAATAATAAACTATATTCACTTCTGAAAATTTGCAACATGGAATTGGTATTGTTCGTTCATTGAAAAATAATTCAATAGCTGCCTTAAATATTCAATAAAATAATATTTTTATTTTTTATTATTTTTTTTATAAAGACCTGAAGTCTCCATTGGGTTGCTATTAAAAATTGTTCGGCTTGCTCATATGTACATCCTGTTTTTGATACCATTTCATTTATGATTATATAATTAGATAATGATTCATTATTTATTGTAGAACAATGAATCTTATTCATTCTTTTTTTTTTTGGTTTTATCTTAAAATAAAAATATTAACAAGAAATTTTAATTTTAAAAAAAGAAATGTTTTTGCTCTTTTCTAAACTAAAATATTTGTTCTAAGAAAAAATATTTTGGTTTATCTTTAGAGATATTAAAGTACATGACAATATGTTATTGATGAAAATAAAATAAATTCTTTAAATATTTGTTAACTAATAGAAGATTTTCATATTTGATTTTTTTCTAAACTTTATTTTGAATAACAATTAAATAAACTCACAAACAAAAAACGAAGACATATTCATTTTGATGGTGATTAAGAAATCTTTTTTTGCTAGAATCGGTCAAAATACGATTGAATGACTTATTCGAAGAAGTGACAAAGAAACAAGTATGTTGTCAATGAAAAAGAAAAGGATGACGATGAAGATATCCTGTGTCTCGTTAAGAATTATTCTTTTTTCCTCTTTTTCTCTTGTTTAGCATGTCAACGGAAAAAAAAACTCTAGATGTTTTTTTCTGCAAACTTTGCTTATTTTTTCTTCTTCCGATTTACTCACTAAATCAGAGCTTTTGTATTTACTCACATATGTGATTATGTATGTTCCTCATTTTATTTAACGTGGTTAATGCCATCATTTGTATATACATATATATATATATTTATTTATTTATTTATATAAGAAAAATATTTTTATTTGTTCTTACGAAATAAAATTCGATCTTGATTTGAATAGTTATTAAAGATAGATATTTAATTGTTTCGAAAATGAATAAATGAACATTTATTTTCTAGTTTATTTATTGAAAAGAAAAATTGACAGTGAAAAAAACAAAAAGAAATTAGAATAAAAAGAAAGAACTCTTTTTCTCATGTCTATTTGCTGACAAACAAACGGAAAAGATTTTCTTCGTTTTCATCTGCTGCATTTAGTATGACGTCGATAAAGAAAAAAAAAAGAAGAGAATAGCATAAAATAGTTGAATAGAATATATTTAGTACTCATTTACCCATCAACGATGATTAAACAGAATATCGTTCTTTTTTCATCGTGCTTGTTTTATTAATAAATATTTAATAAGATTATCATTTAGACATTTTTTGCCAGATAACAGATCGAATAATTTAACATTTTAATCATGAATATTGTTTCTTTTTTTTTAAATAAAACATTTTCTCAAATCAATTTTAAAATTCTTCCTGAAGATTTAATTAATGAATTATTGTTGAAGAATTTTCTTTCATATTATGTAAATAATTAGGTTTTATATACAAAAATTATTTCAAATTTTTCTTTTTTCATTTTATTTTATATCTCTTTGAACATGTCAATTTTGTTCTTATAGGTTAATATATGCTTGCGGTATTAATAAAAAAAAAGACAAATTCTTGTATTTTTATTATTCAAATTTAAGAATAATGTAAACAGAGAAAACAAATGATTAAATATATCTTTTTTTATTATCGATAACGATGAACAATATTTATATTATGACTTGTATAAATAATTTTATGTTATTATTAGTAAAAAAGAAAATGTTATCTGTATTTCTCACTTCAATATCTTTACGAAATTAAATAATAAAACAAAATAAATTCATAGTTTTTGCTTAAATTCTCTATATATTCTTGTTTGTTTCATTTATAAAAACGAAACAATCTTTGTGATGTAGAGGAAAGATCGAGTGGTGTTCTCTTTTTTTTTCTAATCGTCGTTACGTAAATTGATTGAATGTATTTTTTAATTAATTCCTGTAACAAAATGTTTGAGGTGAACTTTAAATAAAGATTGATTTTATTGAGATAGTTTTGAGATTATTTGCGAAGTTTTTTTGTCAAAATATTTTTCAATTGAAATTTGTATACCGAATAACATCTAGATCGAGTTACTGATGCAAATTCAAATATTTAAATACGTTCGATAACGGAGGGACACGATTAAGGCACTTTCCTTCCTAAAACAATTTTCAAAAAAAAAATATGACGATGATAAGTCGCTCATGGACTACAACATTGCCATATTCGTTCACCTGTTCCCATTCCCCGCCTGACAGCTCCCCTGAAAAAAAAAAATTTCTGGTGAAATACATGCAACAGTATAGAATCGATAGTACTGATCACGAATATCACCAAGGTTTTTGTCTCAAGCCTTTTAGTAAGTCAGAATGAGAAATTTTCGATGGTTTTGGGCTTAGACAAAAATGTGAGGTTTCCTGCAGTTTTTAAGTCATTGTCGTCTTAATTTAGCGTTTTTAATTTTCGCCATATAAGCATGTCATCTTGTAAAAATGATATAGGTGGATGCAGTTTTCCGTATTCTATTCAAATATACCATGAAAGAAGAAAAAAAAACATGTCATTTTGTGGTCAACTGGTTGGTTAGTAATGAAAAGTCATATTTTTTAGGTCATATTTCCTCAATTTTCGCAAGCTGTACATTGATACATGCGTTTAACTAACACAATTTAGTGTTCCATTAAATAGAGCACATTTAACTATCTATATGTACTATCAATTTTATACTGTTGCATGTATTTCATTCGAAAAGCAATTCTTTTCAGATGAGCTGTCGGAGGAAGGAAGAGGGCGGAAGAGAGCACAGGTGAAGAAATCTTGATGTCGAACTGTTGTGAGAACATTGAAAATAAACTAAGAATGAAAATTTAACAATAAAATGTTGTTACTAATTAAAAGGATCTTGTCAGAATATTAAAAAAATTCTTCGAGATTAAACCATAAAGAATGAAGCTTAGTTGTTACAAAGTAAAAAATATTTTCAGCAAAATCCTTTTTTTGCCAATGAACGAAATGATTAAATAAAATAGGGAGAAAAGAACGTAATCATCGTGGAAATTTTGAAGGTAGTGAGACATTAAATATTGTCAAAAGGATAAAAATGAAACTAAATCTGTTTATAACTAAAGAAAATAGACTTTTTAAAGATCAATTTACTTTCAAGGTCTTGTTTGATTATTTTGTATAATAGACAACAACACAATCCCTTTTTATGACTTCTATTTAAACTAGAAAAAAATCATGGCATTATCTTTTATATAAAAAGCTTCACTGATAATTGATCGCTTTGTAAAACGATTAAAAAACATGTTCGTCGTCATTTTATATTTGTTTGTTTCTGTTAGAATTTCATTTGGCATATGTAAGTTAAATATAAAATATAATTTGAAATACATTGTTTTATTTAGTTTGTAACGATGGTTCAAATCCATGTAAATTAGATCAATCAGGTTTACCTACTTCATATTTTTTACAAATAAATGGCTATCATTGTTTTGATGCTCTTGATGATGGATTTATTTGTTCATGTCCGGATGGTTCAACAACAAAGAATAGACCTTGTCGTAAGTTTTCACGAACTTTTCTTGTCTTATCAATCAGATTATTTAAATATTATATTTATTTATGTATTTATTTTTCTAAGGAATTTGTGATCGTGATCCAAATCCATGTGGTGTTGGACCATCATTTGTTTCATGTTTTGATATAAATAAATCTTTTTCATGTTTATGTAGAAACGGACAAGGAGAAATTGTAGTTTCAACAACGTCATGTGGTACATTTTTTAAAGATATTTTTTCAAGAAGGAATTTTTTTTCTATTATTTTAGATAATAATACCGTTACACCTCCACCTGCCGTTAGATGTGATAACAGCGGTGTTAGAGATCCAACGACAAATCAATGTAATTGTCCAAGTGGTTTTACAGGTAGTAATTGTGAAATTCGATCAGGTATTCAAATTTGTTTTTTTATTTTTGTGATACAAAAAAAATAAAATAAAAATGTTAAAGATAATCAATTGTGTGATAGAATTCAATGCATGTCAAATGGTGTGTGTGCCATTCGTCCAATATTTGATGGAGCAACAATATATCAATCAAAATGTCTTTGTCGATCAGGTTCTGATGGAGATTATTGTGAAAAACAAAGTAAAATTCAATAAATAATATAATAGATTTTCATTATTTAAATTATTCTAATTTGTATCAAGCTACAACAGGTTCTTGTACATCATCATATTGTTTACATGGAGGTATTTGTCGACAACATCAGATTGGATCTTCTAATTTTATTTTTTGTCAATGTCAAGTAGGATGGTCTAATCCACGATGTGATAAACGTTTGAATTATTTATTTTAATTTCATTTTCAAAAAAAGAAACATTTTTTTTCTTTTAATTTTTTTAGAATATTTTCGTTGTCAATCACCAGGATATTTTATTGATGAATATTTGAAAAATCAAGGAAAATATTTCTTGTGTACATCTTCTAATAATGGTTCAGATAGATTTTATTTTTAATTGTTTTTTTTTTATTTAAATTATTTATTTATAGATTATTTACTCCAACAACTATCATGTCCGAAAGGCCTTAAATTTAATTTTGAAAAACAATTATGTCTTCTATGAATTATAGATTTCATAGGAATAAAAAACACACTCGAACTTTATTTTTCTTTTCATTTGATTTTATTCCACTAAATGGCTTTTTTTAGTTAGACTTTTATGAATGTTTATTCAAGATTTTAATAAATTAGATTTTTATTGGGTTAATTAAATAAAATCAGAAATGATGTTTTTATCCTAGAATTTTTCTTTTATTTCATTGTTATTTTCAAAATGATAATCAGATTTTTCTATACATTACAAATTCCTTGATGCATTCATTATTATAAGAAAAATGATAAAAATACATTGTTAAATGTCAAAAAACTATTTATCCTACAGAAATCATCAACATATTTCGATTGATTTTTGTTATGATCAATTATTTTTCTATGTCTTATTTATAAAAGAATGTTCAGATGAAAATCGCTGCTTTTGATCCTCTTACTTTAAAATGTCTAGTTTGCAAAAACGATTTTGTGAAAGAGTTTATTTTCTTAGCTATATTATTTCGTTTTTCTATTAAAGAACAGTTCATTTATTAAATATATCAAAAAAAGAAGTCGATTGTCAAATTTCTTCTTCGGAATAAATTTCGATTACACAGCAAAACATACATTTCATGAAAACATCAAGACATAAAATCAAATTTTTTAAAACTACTATAATAAACATAAAATAAAAATTAGAAGAGAAAAAGGTAATGTTACATATTAGTTGGTACTAAAAATTCTAACAACGTTGATATTTATTTGAAAGAAAAAAGTAATAAAAAGACTTCTTCATGAAAATCAAGACGAAGAATAAATTAAATACGACAATATTTTGTGCAAATATAATAAGTAAGAAGATAATTGAATCTCTACGTAAATTTACAGCATTACAAACAATATCATCGTTGACAATTTTATCAGTATGCAAACTATTCCACTTTTTGATATCATTTAAGTAACTGATCTATCGTAAATATATATGGATTCATCTGCTTTTGTTCTTGACCAACAAGAATGTATTAATAACAAAAAAAGTTTTATCAAAAGTCCTTTTGAAAATGAATAATGCTGAAAGAGAAGCTGTTAACTATATTATTAGTTCTGCAATGAACCATTTCGAAAAATTCCTCAAAATATAACTGAAGTTATGTTGATCACAACGTATAGAAATGTTCATAAACTTCTCATACGAACATCTGATATAACACATATACTAAATGCTTTCATTCTGAATAAAACTGATTAATTAAAAATCATCTAACTAAATGATACGATTGATTACGTACTATAACAAACATTAAAAGAATAACATATCCATACAGGCTCTTGTTCAACAATTGAACAACTAGCTGATTTGATAAATGAACTATCTGATTACAAAATTATATTAATTCTACTAGGTAAATATTCGTATAAAGTATTGTCGCATTTTCATGATAATACGAAAATTGATTCCATATTCATATTTTATATGAATAAATAATTCTATGAAATTTTGTTGAACGATGAAAAGTGTCGAAAATTAAATAAGATTTATACAAATACAACTTATTATTATCTGTACATGATCTAAAACATATGTTAGCATATTATGCATGGTATCAATTATTACGTAATTGATTAATAGCTATAGAGTCCGAAACATCGAAAAAAGAAATGTTACAATATTGTCGTTTGTTTTATAAGAAAGATTCAATAAGTCTGAGGCAAATTGATAATTTCAAACAGATATATAGACCATCAGAAGTTGTTTCCTAGTATACACAAACAAATATTTCCCATTCAATTTTGTTAATAAAGCATTGTGATCTGAAGCTATGAATGCTTTGTTTAATTCGTGTTACTTTATCATAGCTCTGTCTAAACAATTAAAACAATTATACGATGAGATTTGTCAAGACTATCAAGATGCATTTGATCCATATTTAAAAGTATGTTGTGGTTTCCCCTTACTACATGAACATATGAATTGATTAGGAACATATGTCAATCACTATGCGTCAACAAGCGGATTTCTTTCGACAAATTTATTGTGAGGTAATTCATGAAGGCCAAGTTTTATTTGACTTAGGCGCGACATTCAAAATTATTGACGTCAAACATGATGAAAAAAACATGTTTTGTATCGATGATACCTGTAACTAATACTGACCGGATAAAAAACATCAATATTGATTAAGAACGAAAACTATAACTGCAATATGAGATTGAAACTGATAATAATTTCAGAAGTATTGTGATTTTTGTATAATATTTAATTCATATGGGTCAATACGAAAAGAGTATTTCATTTTTCCATTATTTGTTGCATCGTACAAGGTTGTATTGAATATGAACGATATTTTGTTCTTAAAGCACTTGTTCGATCTCATATGAAGAATGGCGAATATGATATAGTGTTAGAATATGCATTTGATGCAATCTAGCATTACCATGTTATGAAAGACTAATGAAAGAAAGTCATATAAACGATCTTGACACCATCATAGAAATTCATACAAATATGACCGTTACTTTTTTCTCGAACAATAATCTGACTGCTGATTTTGAACATTCTCAACAATTACTTCAAATGTTAAATGATCCTTATCCATTTGATTCTGTTGCAAAATCTGATGCACACATGATTCTAGTTAGAGCTTATCGTCTTGTACATCATTTGGATCTAGCTATTGAACATTATCAAAAATCATTATTAATTCAAATAGTTATTTTTCTTGACAATTGTCCAGTTGTCCTTTTAAGTTATGATAAGCTCGATAATATCTACAATGATAATGGGCAATATAATCTAGCGTTTGAATACTATATCAAGTCGATGGAACTTTACGAGATATATTTATTGGAAACAGAATTATTCGAAAACAAAATTAAACCTTTTTCAAATATTGCTTGCTGTTACATTACATTAAAACAATTTGACTTATCAAGACTCTATTTTGAAAAAGCGCTCAAAATACAAGAGAGTATGATGCTATAATGATTGTTAATTTGCATAAAAAACATTGTCGTATGTTATTGGAGTAGAAAATACTATGATATGACTATTCAACATTATGAAATGGCGTTAGATTTAAGATACAAAACTTCATTGAATAGTATTAATATCATTTTACTTTACAAATACATTTGTATTTTTTATGATGAAAAGGAAGAACACGATTTGACCAAACAGAATTATCAAAATGCTCTCAAAGTACAAAAACAAATAGTTTTATCCGATGAATAATCCACCACTGATATATACGATTATTTTGGATCTTAGAAAAAGCCTTTAAAATTGAGAATATGATTGATTTGGACAGAGACGACTTAACATCGACTGATTATACATTTAAAATTAGCCTCATATTAAAAATAAAAAAAAAGAATATGATTTCTCCATTAGACACTACGCATACACAATAAGCATATATAAAGACCTACAATCTATAGATTATGATATATCTGTTAGTTTCTATAACGCGTTAACAGCATTATTTGATTAGCTAATCGATTATTCTTCAGCGTTAAAAACTTATGAGCAAATCGAAGAATTATTTGAAAACATTAAGCTAAGTGATTAGTTTAAAATTGAAAAATAATACTGTAAAACAGATCGTTATTAATTACAATAGAAAAATCGAATGGAAATTATTCAAAATTATCGCAGCAATCAATAGAATTTAGCTGCAGAAAATAATGAAATATTTGTCAATATTTATAATAATAGTAAAGATAAAATATTATCCGATAAATATTATAGAAAAGCCTTAGAATTCAATCTTACGAGTGATTCTCATGAAGATGTCAAACAAATAGAAAACATTCTGAATAATGCTTATAGCTCCATACTCGAAATATCATTTAACCAACAAGATAATCACCCTATTGGGTAAATCATTATCTAGAGTTTTGATTTCTTTTTCTATATTTGATCATTTTGAAATATCATTGACGAAAAATTCAAACAGTAAATATGTTGTTTCATTATTTCAAAATGCTACTTAGATTTTATTATCGTTG